CGCACACACGCACACAGATTTTGTTCGCTTATTACTTGCCAGCTGTAATGCTGTAATGCCAAGCTCCAGCAGCAGCAGCAGCAGCATCAACATCTGGATCTGTGAAACTTTACTCTTGACTGGTTTCCTTCTTTTTCTCCATGGCCCTTCAGGCACCTGTGGATGTCCTGTATGTACACAACAACATGAAACCACAGTTGGAAATCCGATTCTGTTGTTATACTAAGCAATGATCATTGAGAAGCAAATAAAACAAAAACTGATAGTAATAAAGAACAAGTTCAGTGCATTGTGGATGAGAAGCTGTGAAAACTTGACTTAAAATATAAGTGAATATAAAACAGAAGTGCAACTAGAGTTGTTTGAATCTTTCACTTTCAAACTTTATTATAAAACTGTGGGCTGGGATTAGAAGCAGAAACTCAACCGAATTTATCTAAGGTAGAAGGCTCCTGCCATAAAATATTAAGCCTTGATTTCAAGCTAAAAGAACTTTGGAGGGAAGCCAAAAAAAAAAAAAAAAAAAAAACCATACAAACAATCCTTCCAAACACCCCTGGTAAGTTTTCTAATCATCTTAGATTTCCATTGTTTTTCATATCCTAAAATTCCTGATGTCTTTATGATTTCCAAATAGAATGACTGCAAAGTAGAATTTGAAGATTACTCAGAAAAGCAATCACAAAACAAACAAACAAAAACAAAAACCCATACCTGTCACAGGTATTGGCTTGTTGAAATTCTGTTCTATCAATTTTTACAGAGGTCATGAGGTTCAAATATAAAACCTGAAATATCAACTTTGATCCATAAAATCTAACTGTATGATTCTGCCCTTTCTCTCTGCAGCCTGGGGCAGCTGGCTCTTGTCTTGGATGCTCTGGCCTATCACCCTGAGATATTAATATCAAACAGAGAGGCAAGGCATAATCTATTGCTGTATTTTTCATGCTCATTGATTTGATAAAATTCAAACTATTCTTAGATTATAAAAGGAATGATGCAATCATTAGCATAAGTTTTGTGGAGGAGTTAGATATAGAATTAAAAAATGCCTCTTATTAACTTGCAAAAAATAAGTCAGATTGCTGCACCACCCTCAGTATACCA